GAAAGGAAAGGAAAGGAAAGGAAAGGAAAGGAAAGGAAAGGAAAGGAAAGGAAAAAAGGAACTTCCTAATTGCTTGCTTTCTCTGTGTGTATGTGTGTGTGTGCGTGTATACGTATATGGATATATATGGATGTATATTTATTTATTTATATTCATTTATATTTCAAATTTGTCACCACCCATCTCACTGCAGAGTGACTCTGGGCGGTGTCCATATGTATAGCTATAAAGTTGTCCAAGTCAGACCTGAATCCTGACTGACCAGAGTCCAGATAATTTGCTTCTTCCAGGGCCCTCTGGAGCTGTAAGCTGACTACCTTCTGAACAGCCTTCCCTAAGAAGGGAAGGTTGGAAACTGGACAAAAATTGTCCGGATCCATTGGGTTTAGTAGTGGCCTCTTGAGGTAGAAGACAACCACCTCTTTCAAGGCAGACAGAGCCACTGCCTCCCACAGAGAAGCATTCACCATGCATGGATCCAACTACATAAGAAATAGTATTGAAAATAGAGATGCCAAGATCATAATGCCCTTATATAAATCAATGGTGCAAACTCTTCTGGAATATTGTTTGCTGTTCTGGTCAACACACCTCAGAAAGGATATTGTAGGGCCAGAGAAGGTTCAGAGGAGGCAACTAAGATGATCAAAGGGCTGGAGCAGCTTCCCTATGGGGAAACATTGCAGCATCTGGGGCTTTTAGTCTACAAAGGAGGTGTATGAGAAGGGGCATGATTGAGGTGTACAAAATTATGCATGGTGTGGATAAAGTAGACAAGGAGAAGCTATTTTCTCTTCCCCAAAATACTACAACCAGAGGTTACTCTGGTTGACACTGCTTATGTTCTTCATGTTACCTCCCAGGAGACCTTAATCAACCAGGATGGATAGGGATCTAAAACACAGGTGGCCAAACTCACAGCTCCAAGGATCCTGCACACTTCATCAGGGCTGTTAGGCTCGAAATTTTCCTAGGTAACTGGGCATAACCACGCCTCAGGCACTGCCATAGGACCTGTACAGTCAGATTCAGGCTCTGAGCAAATCCGAGTGACTTTATCTGACTGATGTCTACAGAAGCCCTCTCAGCAGCCCTGCAAATGTTCCCATGGCCCCTCCTTACCAGGAGGGACAGAGTTACCCTGAACAGGGCCACTGATCTTGGAGATACCATGATCATCGTATCTCAGTTATATGCTATAGTAACATGCTTCTTTTTTTTCTCTCTCTCTCTTCTTCTGTATTTGGTTTGCTTATTCTTCTTCCTCTTGTCTTTTTTTTTTTTTTTGTTTTTTTTTTTTTCTTCCCCTTTTTTTTTTTTTTGTTTTTTTTTTTTTCTTCCCCTTTTTTTTTTTTTTGTTTTTTTTTTTTTCTTCCCCTTTTTTTTTTTTTTGTTTTTTTTTTTTTCTTCCCCTTTTTTTTTTTTTTGTTTTTTTTTTTTTCTTCCCCTTTTTTTTTTTTTTGGCAGTGGAATATATTGAGATTTGTCCCAGTGGGAAGGGCTATATTCCTGTAGAAGGAACACTGATTTTTGGACAGACATCTTACACAGGTACCTCTTTGTCTAATTTCAATAAATGCCCCAGCTTTTTGAAGCTCAGACTGAATGGGAGGGGTGGCTTATGTTTTAGAAGAAATATTTCATTCACTCAAGTGTTTCATACCCAAATAATCAGCCAAACGTATGCTTTGTATAAGAAATTATCAGAAAACAATAAACAATTCTCATGTTGAATTATGACTTTGGTACAGCTATAAAAACTTCAGAGAAATGTTATGTGTTGGATAGATAATATGAGACTCTATACAAATGGTGAGTGAAGACTATGAAAGGATGGCACAAATGATTGGTAACTGGT